GCACCCATATAACGGTACCTCCTGATTTTCGATATTTTGTCTGAATATGTTCCTGTTTTACTATAGTCCTCATGTAAGGGTACCTTCGAATACTCGGTATTTCGATTATTAGTACCCCATTTTCAACGGAATTGTTTCAAACTATGGTAGAACTAAGAAGGTAATTGTTATCCATTGCGAGCCCTAAATACCAAATTCAAAACACTGTAGAAAAACGTGGCTGGGATCATTAAAATACAGAATATGGCCGAATATCGTTATATGCAGCAAACGAAAATGAAATATTGAAAACGTTTGCAATCGTTTCGTTCTGTATTTTTTCGAAGCATGAAACGAAACAAAACCGATACTGATATACCGATACTGTTTGTGTAGATGAGTGGAAACAAAAACAGAACTGAAATGTACTCTGCTTGATGACGCAACATTGGAAACGAAACAGTACAAAACTCATTGCAAACGTTTCCCTGTATATTAACTCATTACAAATAATGTACAAACTAATTAAAAGTTCAAATTATTTCTGTTTATTCATTTACTTTACCATTATACAATGTGAAAAAGTTCAAAAATAATACGAAGAATAACAACTCATAATGTACCAGTCACCATTTCGGACAGCAAACATTTCCCGTTGATTCGTTCGCCAACGATACAGCTCGGCAGCTCATCGCCGAAGTACATTAAGGCAATCGTATTTTTTGTGTACTTCTGGCATTGAAATGTTTGTGGTTTTATTTTGTATGGAGTACAAAACGATTGAAAAATTTTAAGTTTGTGTCTTTTCGTTTTCGTTCGCTGGTTATATGAAAATCATGGACCAATATGGACAATGTTTCGACACCGGTTGTAGAACCTATTGTGAACTACAAGTACCGAATTTGAAACAAATCCCATAGAGAATGTGCTAGAACCGGTTAAAGCTCTTAATAACAAGTTTGAAACCATGGTACAATTGAATCAAGGTAACCACATTTCAAATTATAATACCCAACTCTGCATTTTTCTGAAATTTTCCTTGTCAAATAAATGGGTAAAAAAAAAAGGTTTCCATCTCTGTTTTGTGTATGTACCATGGATTTGTAAACAAACATTTTGACAACGAGATGTTGTCAAATGAATAATTTAAAAAAAAAAAAATTGCAAATATATGATTGCATAACGTTACCTTCTTAGTTCTACCGTGGTTTGAAACAATTCCGTTGAAAATGGGGTACTAAGGCTGCAAATACATAAAAAGCTTGAAGTCATGGCTAGGCATATTAATGCCAAATTATAATGAAAAACGACGGCAGGATTTTAGTACGGCTCTAAAATATGAAAAATAAAAAAAAAAAAAAAAAAAAAAAAATATATATATATATATATATATATATATATATATATATATATATATATATATATATATATATATATATATATATATATATATATATATATATATATATATATATATATATATATATATATATATATATATATATATATATATATATATATATATATATTTATTTATAGAGTTTCCATATACGGAGACATTGGCACTAATTATTTTTCAAGACTTGGTTCGGTATAGAAGTTAGCCCTCCATGAAAGGCATGGTAAATTCTCAGCAAATTGTAACAATTATTATTATCTATGTGTATTTTAGTGAGTATGTGAAAATTCCCATTTTACATAAGACTCATAACTTTTGCTATAATTACATTATAATTATTATTGTAGAATCACAACTATTGTATTTTATAAAAAATTATAATACAGGGTTGCCCATATTCGACGGACCCATCTGGCAACGCCATAACTTTTGACAGAGATGTCACATCGCTTAATGACATACCGCGTTTGAAGCGTCAGTCCAAGCAGATTTTTACCATGAACAAATACACGCGAGCGCTCTGAAATAGTTGAAATTTACAAGAAGTCAATTGTGAAAACTCAACGTGCTTTTAAAATGTGAGAAGTGGGCCTTCTAAGAACACCATTAAGCGTTTATACGAAACATTTTCGATTGGTAAGGCTCTTTCTAATCCGAAGAGGTCATATAAAAGTCGACCAAGGCGACCGGCCGAGAATATCGCTGCCGTACGAGCCAGTGTTGAGAGGTCCCCAAGAACATCCCAAAAACGCCGTTCTCAGCAGTTGGGCATGGCTCGGTCCACTTTACAACGGATTATTCGCATTGATTTGCATTTGTTCCCGTACAAAATTCAATTGACGCAAAGAATGTTGCCTGCGGACAAGCCTCGTCGATTGGAATGGGCCCAAAGGTCCGTCGAATATGGGCAACCCTGTACTGCAAGGATGAATTTTTAACGCAAATATATTAAATAACACTTACATACATATTAAATAACACTTAGCTAATAAACTACGTATTTTTGGTATCTTCTACATATGGGAAATGTGACATTACATATGTAAAAATATTTTGTTTGATGGAGCCTTTACATATACCGATGATTTAACAGCATATTTGAAATCGGACATTTTGCTAGCTAAAGTAATGTCAATTTTTTCATATTAGGAAGCTACACATATCGTGTGATGCATGGACGCCTTTTTAGTTTTGAAATACATGAGTGGATAAACCATCAAAATACCGAATATCTAGGTGCCGTTATATAGAGGCCATATTAAAACATGGACCCATACAGCCAATGTTCAGCCACCAGATGTAGAATCCCTTAAAAACTTAAATTATCAAAATACCGAATATCGGAAGCTACCGTTATATAAGGGTTATAACAAACCGTGGACCGATATATCTCACTTTCAATATCAACCATTCTAGACACAATATACACTCTTGCGTCAAATTTCAAAACTCTACGTCAAATAATGTGTTTCGTGATTTCAACAGAAAGTCTGACCGACAACCCTAAATCGACTTAGAATTCTATGCTGATCATGATTATATATAATTTATGGGGTTTACAATTCTACAATAATTACATGACCCATCATGATACAATAATTACAATCGAATCATGGAAGAGCAACGAACATACAATAGTGCTAACGGCGGATAGAATTGCTGAACTTGAAGTACATCAATTTTCAACCGGGAAATATGTAGCAGGTTGTAAAGAATCGCTGATTTGTTTCGCAAGATATGACAAATAAAAGTATTGAAAGGTGTGACTTTGTGGGTGAGGTACCAGAAGGGGTTCGCAGATATATTATCTTCCCAACAGATCTTGTCATAAAAAAATTTTGTATGTGTGAAATTTGAAGAAATTTGGATGCTTATTTAGCTTTCTTTGAGCGTTTTCTTTTTCAAAATTTGAACCCTTTGTAGGGGAGGTAGCAGAAGAAATAGTCCGATATCTACCATAGTTATAACAGACTTTGTGTTGATGGAAATTTTGACCCTTTGCGGGGAAGGTACCAGAGTGAGTGACCATTATATATGGAATATATAGGTCTTGAGTAATAAAAATATGTTAATGTGTGTAATTTGAAGGACTCTTACATCACATTTTATAAGAGTTATAATAATTCAAAATTTTGACCCTTTGTGGGGGGGGGGTACTTGATGGAGTGGACCGATATCGTCCATTTTCGCACCTGACCTAGCACTGGCGCAAATATTAGTATTTTCAAGGTTGGAACAAAAATCGGATTATCCTTTATCTTTTTGGTAGTAATTTTTTTTGAAAATTTCTACCTTTTGTGTTGGAGGAGCCAGAAGAAGTGGACCGATATTGCCCATCTACGAACTCGATCTAAGTTTGATAATAATGTTATCATATCATAAAGCTAAATCGATACCAAAAGTCTTGAAACGGATTTGGGCCAAAGAGACCTAGGGTCTAAAAACTTTATTTCGACGAGGCTTGTTTTGGCCGTATCATATGATATATACCCTCTCTATCCATATCTTTTTCACAATTCCCAAATGTAGAACCTTAAGGGGAATGTGGATAGAGGCTAGTGAAATCAATTTTAGAGGAAAGGAGAGTATATGCGAAGTCAACTTTTTTCCGTTTGACGTGATTTGTTATTTCAAACAGAAGCGTTTATTAGCAAGTGCAACAGTAGCACCGAAAATCTTAAACATTTGACATATTTGACAAGCTCGTGTACTGACTGAAACAGAGTTGCTTCTGAATTCTCTCTTTCGCAAACATTCTTTGTCAATTCGAGGCATATTTTATAACCAAAGTCGAACTAAGTCAACCTAAAACTCCTTTGCCCCTCTACCATGGTAGAAGAATACAGGTAGTCGCATCGACACAGTTTCATGGATAATAAACTGTCAAACCGATTTTGGAATTGAAAATCTTGAAACAAAATTTTTGAAATTTGTAAAAATTGTTGAAAAATACATATCATTACAACCTCGTATAACAAAACATATACAGATCTACTTATTTTGACAAAACACTTTAAAAATTTTGACATAGTAATGTTCCCAAGCGTTGTTGCATCTACCTATATTTTTCTACCAATGCCTCTACGAAGAAGCCAGTCGATGACTTAAGCCAGTAAAAAAAGCGTTTTATATATTCTCACCTTAAGTCGATTTAGCGTTGGCCGTCTGTATGTCTGTCTGTTGTAATCACGCTTTTTTCCAACAAGTTGAGATAGACACATTATTCACAGGAATATCATATTTGGAATTTGTAATGGGTACTCCAACCTAAGACAGAAAATTGTCTATGCAGGTTCAAGTCTTCGTATGCTCCACATGTAACGGTAACTCCCCTAATTTTTGTACCATGGTTAGAATAAAAAGATTTCTGAAGGGATTAAAACCCACATCTCTAGAAAGCCCATTTATGATAAACATTTAAATTGGTATGAGATGTGCCCTAAATACACTTGTTCCGAACTGTTTAATTTTCAATTGCCAGTGAGAACACGACATTATGTTCCACACAATGAAATTGACCAATTGGTTCGAAACTTCCATCTCTGTTAAGTACTCGAATAGAAAACAGTTACCGGGTAGTTAAGTAATCAGTTAGTTTTGTGTCTTTAGTTTTTGACACCTCAAACATCAAGTTATTTTATTTGATTCAAGAAGACAGATGTCGATTATACCGCAAGGAAATATAGTAATTTTTGTGATGGCTGACAGTTGGCAAAAAACTTTAATAAGAAAATGTCACATTTAGAAAAGCATTGACGTCGTCAAATAAAATCAAAATTTGTTAATAGCTCAATTTAATATATCGTTATTGTGCGAGTGCTTGTGTTAAGTGTTGGTGCCCCCATATTCGTTAATTCTTTACTACATGTGGTCGGTCATGCGGTGTGGTCTATAATCTAATAAATAAATTAGCAAACACATAAAATATACGAGTGTTGGATGGAAAAAGTTATACAATTTTCTAAAAATGGTGTAGTTGGGCCCGCTTCAATTTGACGTGGAATAACAACTAACATCGGCACCGTTTTCTATGACAAAAAGAAAAATTCTATCTACGTAACGTAATAACCTCAAAAGCTGCTCAGAAAAACCAAAGCGGAGATTAATCACAACACTTTATATTAATATAACCTAAGATCGTGTTCGAATGCGATTCGAATATGACGGCAACAACGGAAAATAGTAAAAAAGAATCGCAGGAAATGGCTACCAAAGAGAACGCTAACAGGAATGGCCCAACCAAGGAGACACCAATAGAAAGTCCTCAAAAAAGCCTAAAACTCCAAAAAGTGAGCAACGGTCAGTTGGAGAAGCGTGTCTACAAAATCGTTCTCACTGGAGGTAAGAATTATAAATGCGCATCCAATTTCATGTTGTTTTCATCCTAAGCGGAAGTCTTTTTGTGATACATAAGACATAATCTGTGTACAGTACATAGTATATTTGTTATTCTTGTTTGTATTACTGCAACCAACCTTTTATTCGTTCAATGCAGCTTTTCAATGTCAAGGTCATAGGCTGACTACTTGTTACACACAGTGTCATTATTTGTGTGGTGCGAGAGCAAACCATCGCATTTCATGTTATGTATCTTTCGGATGCAACAATGCAATTCAAAATATAATATTATTTAACGTAGAAGTGGATTTGATGGACTGCATATAGATAACATTTCTATCAGGCAATAGTAATAAACAGTTTTATGCTTAAATTGAGTTTACACCCGCTGGCGGAAAAATCTGAAAATTTTACCGAACGTTGTCGTTTTTTCCTAATTACAAGACATACTTTTTTTCAGCGGGAAATCAATATTCATTTAGATAACGACTTCTAAATTACAGAAATGGCTCCTCCAGCTAGTTGTGAACTAAATTGGTTTCCTTTTTATTTAATTTTCGGTTTCGGATTTTTTAAATAAAACTGTAGTCCTAGCTCGTCTGTACTTTACACAATAGGTGTGTCTAGTTACTTTTCCTGCAGGAATTGTCCAGCAACATCTTTCTGAGAGAGTAAGGTATTTTTATTTTCTTTTGCAAGCAACTTGCTTGCAACTAGTCAACTGATTTATCAAAACAAACCAATTTGCCCCCATTAAAAGAATATAGGAAAGGAAGCACCACAAATTTTACCAATTTTTTTAATAAAAAGGAAATTGGCAATAAAATAAAAATATGAGCAATAAAAGAAAGATAGATTTCATGTGTTCCCCGGCATCCTTTAAACGTGCTGCTAATGGCGTTTGTCTAAAAATGTTGTGAATAGTCTTTCATTTTCTATTACATATCAATATTTACGTTTTCACACTTTTGTAAAGTTATTCTCGAAAAAAATTAGTCTTGCTAATTCCAAAATAAAAAAATATGTTCAAATTAAAATATCAAAATGAAATAAACAAACAATAGAAAACATCTGATTGAATGTCGTTAAGTGAGAAGAAGAAGAGTTGCAAGTGATTGTTGAATAAAATTTGTCCAGCAAGAATTTGCAAACTCTCACTCAAGTTAGATCTACCTTGCTCTCACTGAAAGAACTGTCAAAATTTCTCTCTGCAACCGCTCTCTTTTGCAGAACTTTCGGGTTAACAGACGACTTCCAGTAACAATTTGTAACAACTGCTAAAAATTTTGTTACCGAGACACACCTAATGTATTTAAAATGTCAAATTCATTGCATTTACGCTAAAGAAGCCTTCATAATGGCGGTTAGCCCGGCAAAAAGCTTTAATGTGAACATACTATTTGTAATGTGAATGATCCGTCAACCATACATGATATGACATCTAACCTTAATGTATGCTACCTTTTTATAAATTTTTAAGCGATAAATATTGACATGAGTAAACAGCTTATAGATTCCAAAAGACTACCATTATCATTTGTTAACTAACATCGTACAAATATTTCTTTTTAGGTCCATGTGGTGGTAAAACAACTGGTCAATCCCGCCTGTGTACATTTTTTGAAAATCTCGGTTGGAAGGTAAGTCTTGTTAAACGATCACAAGAATTGCATTCACCGTTAAATGAGTGAGAGAGTTGGTCAAACTTGAGATTCTCATTTATTGAAATAAAAATCTTAGCTAAGTTGGTGACATTTACAGTGTTCAAGCCTTTCTTATATTTGTAACCTAGAATAAGAAGAAATGCAATTATTTTACGTCCTTAATGCCAATGATGATCTGGTATAATTTAAAACTATCATTTCTATTAATAAATGCTATTAAGATAGAATTGTCGATTAAAAATGTTTCTATTTGAGATTACATAATATTTTCATAGATTAAAATTAAGCAAATATTCCTATTTTCAGGTGTTCAGAGTACCTGAAACTGCTACTGTCCTACTCAGGTAACTTTTGATTACTTTTGTTCATTTGGTTAAAATTTTGCTAAATTGCAAATATTTCAAATTATGTTTACAGTGGTGGTGTCAAGTTTTCCGATCTCACTGAAAAAGAAGGTAAATCGTTTATGTCCATATATACCTAGATCACGTGTAGAAATTAAAGTTCACCAAACGAACGCTTAAAACCATTCAATACAGAATACAATAAGCTAGAACGCAACTGCAAATATATTAATTACATTAAATAATGTAGTCATTCCGTGAAATGTTTGCTTCTGAATTATAACAAAAACTGTTATTGTTTTAATTGTGTTTTTATAACGAGTAATTGTTTGTGGTACATCAATTTTTATTTTTCTTATCTTTCCAAATATTTGTTGACACAAATTGTCAAATGTCATAGTCGTCGTCTTCTTCTAATCCACTTTGCGTGTTAGAATATAATTTAATTAAAGTTTGATTTGTTTGAGTAAATATATACAAAATTACGTTAGCTGTTGTTGTCTTTTGCTAGAGAGCCTCGTACATAAAAACATTGGCTAAGGCAAGTTTTGTAGTTGTTTTTGCTAAAGGGGTATCTATTACACCCAATATAGTTAATTTGGCGTGCGAATACCCAACTCAAGTACAATAAATATGATGCCTATGTTAGTTATTGGGACATATTAATTCTTCATTTAGGATTTTAATTCATTTTTGTGGTGGCGAATCTATATGGATCCCCTCTCCTTATCGTATCTTTTATATAAGCACGAGGACTGTGTCATGCAATTAGTTTCCATCCCGATTATAAGTATAGGTATAGGTGTGTACACGTCAAAAATGATAAGAATTGTGTACTTTTTTTTTGGCATAAACAAAGTAACTGGTTCTTGTCACATGTTTATATTCCTTATATTTTGCGTTTGTCTGATAATTTGTTAAAGATATCGATGGCATTTTTTTGTATGTATTAACGTTCTTGGGAAATAATTTTACGTATTTAGCACCTCCAACACCAACAACGTTTACGTACAAAAATCTTCCCTTTGCCGCACCGGAGCACAGTCTTATAGATTTGACGGCATCATGTCCGCGATGTTTGGCGAACGCTGCTTCAAAACCAAATGGCAGCGAAGGTGAGTGTATCTACGCTCTGGATAGAGAAATGCATACGTTTTGGTTACTGCAATTTGCACATTTCTTCTTAAAACATATGTTTATTGTAATTTTTCACCAAAGTGCAGATAATGCTTTCGTATTCCTGTCAATTTATCTACATTTCCATTTCTATATATAAAACGCGCAGTCCGCTCTATTGTTCACATTCAAAACTAATAGCACTGCATCATAATGCATGAGATTAATTTCCGAAATTGTATCATCATGGTGGGTGGGATTTTTTTGGTTTATGTAAAAAATAAAATAAAAATGAAAGACAACTCAAACTTCATATTCCAAGATATAATTTAAACTTTTTATCAAGTAAATATTTTCCAATATTTTTGATCACAGAATCATTACAAAATAGTGTAAAATTTCAATTATATCGAAAAAATACTATATATTAATGTTGTTTTACATCAAAGATCGGGAATATTATGAATACTTTGTTTTAAAGGTTTTGCATCCCTCATACCAACATGCTAACATATTCATGTGCTTTTCATAAAGACATTTTACAAATATTCTCTCATTTCCGCTTTACATTACGCTACAACTGCAGGTCTAAAATATAGTAATTTTGCTGTTTATAGTAGACCATTGTCAGCACATATTAATTTTAACTGTGCCAACATTGTTACAGTATCTGATTGAATATAGGCTATTTACTTAATAAGTCATGCGTTTTATTTTTTTCGTTATTTACTCTTCAAATGTCTTACTGGAAAATCTCTTTTCTTTATGGCTGTACATACTAATAAATTATTTTGTTGCTCATATATATCAAACAATAAATAATCTTGTACCAAATATAGGACAGGAGATTTTTTCTTTTCTTATTTTGCTATTTTCTAAAAGCCAAAACATAAAAAACAAAGAGAACACAAGAATGTTCAGCACTGTTTTATTTTTATACATGTTGTTGCGCACAAAATTAGAAAAACCTTCTAGAGACGGCGATGCAGAGTATTTAGAGGTATTAGGTTGAATTTACTTTTTGTATTCCATGAAAAGAATAAAACTATTTATAATGTGCAAGAGTCTAAAATAGTGTGTAAAAATGTATATATTTCTTGGGAATATTTTATTCTTGAATGCACAACCATTTATATATTTTGATATCTATCCTAATGTTTGAATAAACACATATATATGTATCTTATTTACGTCTAATTTTTTTGAATAATATGTAGTGTACAAGGAACATACTCAGTTTGCAAACAAAAAGAAAGCGGCAAATATTCAGTAAACAAATGACTAAATATGTGTTCGTACGTATATGTATATTTAGCATATATCGATGAACAAAAAAAGAGAATGCTATCCTAAATGTTTGTATAAAATAACGGTTATTTCATTGAAATTTATCGAATGCACAGAGATTTCTCAATTCATGAAAATTATGTTGAGCGAAAAATATGAAAAAACTATGAAATATGTAAACGTGCACATAGGTTTTTTAATTCTTATATTTTTTTTTTGCAGGACAGTGTTGTCTTGTTTGTTGCTTTAATTTGTGAAATGTTTTTCCATAATTGAAGAAATATCCACATAGAATATAGAATAAAACAATAGTTATAAATCGTATTATTAAAAAATATAAAACATTTATTGAAATTTTTGATTCGATTTCCAAAACGAAGGAAGCATTCACCATTATAATGAATGGCGTTGTCGTTGAACAATACAATGCAATAAAAAAATATTTTGTGAATTTTTAATTTAATTCATTAGAAATTGTTTTTATTTAAAACTGTAAAACAGAACTGAAAAATGTTAAGAAAACATTTGTAGAATATGAAGATGTAAAATGCACCCACGCAAAGTTGATGTTCTAAAACAATTCGTATGTAAATTCTCCATCATATACCTACAATTGTTGGCGTGATTCTGGTAGAAACAGCCAATTTGTGTTCCAAACGATAGGTCTTCCTATCGTTTTCTTTCGCAATATATTGTTGCCAATACACAAAAATACAAAGGGATAATAGAAATCTTTCATCTGTAAGTCACTGACTTTTCTCCAAAATAAATAAAGGTTTTCAGTCGAGAATTTGCGAACGAATGGGCTGTAAGTTATATAAGCCTTCTTCGTTGAGGCAGAATTTTTTCTCGTATTCTAAAAATTAAGGTAGGAAAACATATAAAGCAATTTATATATTTAAATATATTGTTTTACGGTGTTTACTTTTCTGTATTGTATTGTTAATTCCGTATGTAAAATATTCTTTCAGGGTTTTTTTCTTTTTTCTTTTGTTGTTTTTTTTTTCTTAATATCCACTATTCCTTTTGTAGATATAATATAGTAATTTCTTAATCTAATTAGGACATAGTGTCAAGTATTCTCATTTAATGCAATTGGATACAACAAGCATGTAATAAGATTAGTGCAAACAAGAACCCAATCGATAAAACACATCGGGAATTGTATGCCAATTATTAATTTTATTTATTTTTTTTTAAGTAATGAACAACGAATACTCAATTAAATATGATGCATGAAGCGAATTTTTAGAAAATAAATTTCACCATCGAATTTAACAGTACGCAAATGGTCACGTTTTGCAATAGTACGCTTTAACGTTTGAAACTGTGTTTTTATTGTCGTACTCGAACAAATTAAATTTGTTGTGTTCAGAAAAGTTCGACGGTGGCTCAAACACACTATATACTATATTCTATGATTGTATCTTAATAAATCATTGCAAAATGTTAGAGTCAACAAACATTTACAACTTTATTTCAAGTTTTGCAGTTAGAGCGACGATCATATGTTTATTTCTCTGACGAGACGAGCTCCACTATCTGAAATTTGCAGTGGAAAATGAATGCAAATGGAAACTCATACACTCACGATTATGTTACGAGTTTAGCTGTTGGTTAAGAGGGTAATTAATTATGTTTGGTGGACATGGATTAGAAAGGCAGAGCGACGGACTTTTACCCACAATACTTAAATATGGTAGAGTGGCTACGAACGTTAGGACGCAGCATCTAATTGGATGCAAACTTTGTATCCGCTTTTCAAATCCAAGCCGAAGTTGTGCTGAGAGAGAATGGAGTCCTATTATTAATAAATATTAATAACTAGCTGACCCGGACCTTCATTATTTTGCCATACATAAAGTTTTTAAGTAAATCGAAAAAATTGGCGTGAAAGTGGGCGTGGTCAACTTTTCTTGCATATTAACTTATCTCTGGGTAGGACGAACATTTGTAAAAATGTTCGGTTCAGCCATTTTCAACTGATGCGATTACCTACGAACGACATTTGATTTATATGTATAAGTTGGCGTGGTCAGTTCCTCAGCCCCCAAAGAAATAATTAGGGTTGAGCATCTCGTGTAATAATTTTCAAACCGATATGTCCATTATTTTGGCAAATATATTAGTGGGGTTAAAAGTAGTGTGGTCAATATTTCTTTTTACAAAAAGCTAACTGCTTATATGAAGAACGTTTGTAAAAAAAAGTATGCAAATCGGTACAGCCGTTCTCAACTGATTCATTTACCAACGAACAACAATTGATTTATATATATATATAGATATAATCAACTAATAATAACATCAATAGATATATACTCATTCGTAATTAATAATAAAGAACTTTAGTGGTTCCTTTTAATTAAATTCACGTGTCACAATTTATGTACGATGCAGTTGTTGTCAATTAATAAATATTGTTTTTGCCTTTAAGTTTTTATTGATGCTAATTTACTCAAAGAGACAATGTTTGTACTAAACACAAATTGATTTCAAAAACGTATCATGGTGATGTAGTTGTTTAGGTATTGCAACTATATAAAAACATACTCAATATCCCAGTATCGTAATTTTATTACACGTTGATCAAGAATACAAAGAGTCAGCATAGGAAAAAATCAGGATTTGTTTTTATACCACATCCAAAATTTCTAATGGTTTACATATAAGTGAGCCCAAATTGATGTTGTTGTTTTGCATTAGTATATGTGAAATACATTGTACAACACAATATCATACAAATATCTGCATGATACATCGCTTGGTTTTACATTGGCTTGGTTTTTCGTTTTTTGTCAAACGTGTACAATTTCTCATATATATTAACATTGACGCGGACACGAAAAATGATTAATGTCTTCTAAGAGCGCAAAAAGTTTTAGGAATTTACACTTTTTTCACAATACCATAAAAACCCGAGAGTGATACTGGTTGACCCTTTATTGTTACTCCACTGAAGTTGGAATTTACGTCCACAGAGCCGATGTAGGAAGTTCGCTAAGTCCGAACTTACAAGTTTATCTGCGGCATGTTAATATCCATGTCCATGTCAATATGAGAGAGAGACGGAAATTGAAATTTGTTTAAAATTTTACAAAAATAAATTAAAGAGGCAATCGAGCGTTTTTTACATTCCAAAAAGATTGTTTACTTTTTAAATATTCAAGTTTTTGAGTTTTAAAACATCTTTTTATTCTCGGTATAAAAAAAAACTATTTTTTTCCAATTATCAGACTTGAACTCCCATATATCTAATACTACTTAACATAAATACATTGGTGTGGCCAGGAATTAAGTTATCTGCAATCCCAGCATAACACTCATCAAATAAAAGGTTTTACTAACCAAATAACCCATATAACCCCATAACCCATTAATTTTTCAAAGGCATGTCATACAAACCAAGTAGATATTCTTTGACCACCGCAAGACACAAGTGTGTGTGTGTGTGTATTTTGTCAACTGCTGGTGATATTGGTCTTCTGATTTGTGGTTAAACACACTGCGTCAATCTTTCAATCATGATGGTTTGATTAAAGTATTACATCTTGGACTTGCAATAACACCTGCACAATATCTGCCGCCGTCGCCTTTTGCTATTAGTTAGCAAAAGGTAGTTTGCTTGCTTTAGGTTAGATTATTTGTCTTATGCAGCTCCAAAAATGTTGCTCGGTATATATTGAAGACGATTCTTTGTAATATATAAAGCGAATAACGAATTGGGAATCAACTACTCTGGATTTCAATTTTTTATTTGTTAGGCAATATGTTTCTTTAATCTCTAAACAGTACTTACACAAAATAATTCACTATGAGTGAGTATATATGTAATAATTTCTAAAATGAAGAAAAACCAACTGGAAGCACTCGCCTCGTTTTTTAAAAGCTTTGTTGTATTCTAACGTTGAATTATGTGTTTTGTGTTTATTTTTGACTGCTTTATGGTCCTTTCTGCTATCATTAATATCTTTGTCATGAATCTTAATTTCTTTGTAGCATATAAATTTCAAGAAAACTTGATACGAACAATGATACAGATTGAAAACACATACTTTGAATTGGGTAAATCAAGTACCCGGAATTGTTTGATTATATGTGATCGCGGCGTGATGGATGCAAGTGCATGTAAGTAATCGTTATTCTCTTTTATATTAATATATATATATATGTATATATTTTTAAAATATATTTAATCCACTACCCACTGTAGATATTTCCAAAGATAAGTGGGAAAAAATGATGGCATCGAACAATTGGAATCCTATTGAAATGCGAGACAATCGTTACAATCAAATATTGCACTTGGTTTCGGCTGCTAATGGAGCAGAAGAGTTTTACACCACCGAAGTAAGTATTTTTAAATTGAGGACATTTTGCCAGGTCCTAGGAATCTGAAGTGAATAGTTTGTAGTGATTGAAGCACATATTTTGTTAGTAATATTATTTTTGAATTCAATAATTTTGTTCTTTTGTTTTCAAAGAAAATGAAAAAACTATTCAAGGTAATAACGATGATTTTCTAGAAGTCTCACATAGCTGTGCTTGATTGCTAAATTGTATTACAAATTTTTATGCTTTGACTCTTATTTAAATGGACTTTGAGCTAAATATTTGAAGATTATTGTTATATATTTGTATTTTATTTAAGGAACACGCTTGTCGTTCAGAAGGCGTTGAATTAGCTCGTGAACTTGATTATAAATCTGCTGCAGCGTGGGTTGGTCATCCATATTTTGATGTTATTGATAACTCAACAAATTTCGAGACCAAAATGAATCGAATGATAGAAAGTGTTTGTCAAAAGCTGGGTATCGATATTGGTGATCGGTTACAAGCCACTTCAAGAAAACTTAAATATTTGGGCAAGTACAAATTTTGGCTAGGTTTTTAACACAGATCTACAATGACCTAATTAATTAATTCTATAGTTGCCACGTTACCTCCGGATTCGGAATTTCCGCCATTCCAAGATTTCAACGTCGAACACCACTATTTACAGTCTTCTGGTCCTAAAGTGCAGGCTAGACTACGTAAACGCGGGCAGAACAATCACTGGAGTTATATACACACAATCCGTCGGCCAAATGTGCACGGCCAATCGCGCATTGAGGTAAAAACGCAATTGACTCAGCGTGATTATATCAACTTATTGGCCCAGCGCGATGACGCTCACTTCACAATTTATAAGAAGCGCCGCTGCTTCTTGGTCAATAATCAATATTTCCAATTGGACATATACAAAGAACCCAGTCATCCAAGGTAAGATGTTTGAGTGTAGTCAATTAATGATAATATAATCAATATTTTATTTTACTCAGGTGCAAGGGCTTGATCCTTTTGGAAACGTATTCTTCTCTGTCTGGCGAGGCTCTACTAAATTGCCTGCCAAAATTTTTAAACATAGTCAAGGAAGTTACCGGCGATCCGGACTACTCTATGTTTAATTTATCATTAAAGGAGGATTGGAGTATCACGAAAAAGTTTTGCCATTCTTTACATGGTAAGGAAAATTGTAATCATTTCAATGGCCAAAATGGTGCATCTTCGTAGAATGTGAATCTGTATGTTCGATGTTGAGCCAAGTATCAAGATATGAAGTCGAGTTGGATTTTATTTTAATGATTTAAAAACATGATTCTTTACATACCTCATTTTACGTAGTTAAGGACGTGCTATGTATTATTAAATTCTAACGTTTGTATGCAAAATCTATTAGAATGTTGTCATATAGAGAATTTTACTACTAACTTCTCAAAGCTGAATATCTTAAAATTCTAATTTCAATGTTAAATGTTTCTAAGTTTTAAAAATTTCTTCGGAATATCGTTGCTGTTTACTCATAATTTTTCGGTCCATTATTCTTATTTTTTTGTATTTCTATTATAGAGGACGTTTCCGGTTACAAATCAAAGCAGCCTAGCGGAGTTTCGAATAAACAATTGGTTCTTAACGGTCATGCCAAGGGTTAGTTTAATGTTACACTTATGGTTTATCTCTAAAATATGAACGCAGTTTGCGATGGAAATGAAACTTATTAGATCAATTTAGGCTTAAATATTTTTAACATTAAGGAGGCTCAAACTGTGTACTTAAACTATCTATAAACTTTGTCAATATAAGGCTTTTATACTAACCGACCATTCAATGAGTAACACACTTATAAATCATGTTTTGGCCTCTCTATTTTTGTTAGAACTTTTTTTAAATATTCTACCCTAAAACGATTGACAGACTAGATATATATTTTTAGATTTTTGAACGAAATTATGTCTGTCTGGCCCATCTGGTTTAATTTTATAATTTCCAAGAAATACCTAGTTTTTTTATTGTACTTAAATGAATAGATTCTGTTATTATTAAATGAGTTGTGCAGCGCCTTAGCCATTTGAAGTGGTCTATTAAAAATTGAAAAAATCACCATTAAATTATGTTTAAAATCTAAATTTATTGATTACTTAAAAGAACGAAAAATACATTTTTAATTTATGAGTCTTGTATTTTAGAGTATATATGACTTTACCTCGTAATAAAAAAAATCAAATTAAAAAATGAATAATATTTACTTTTATTTAATCATGAAAAAGAAAATATCTAGTTTAACATAAGAAATTCTATTTTTTTATTCTAACGCCGGTAAACCTTCCATTATCAAATAGTAGTTCCCAAATACATTTTTTATCATTCGTAAATATAAACTTACAAATCAACTCAACCGTACCTATTACTTTTACAGGGCATGTGTCCCGAAACATGTAGTAATTATTTGGCTAATACGTAGAAAAAACATTTGTTTTCCTTTTAAAAACAACGGTTCTTTTTTACCCGCAATCCCTTCTTTATGCCACGGAGATTAAACGCTCGTCATATTATGTCCTGTTTGATAAAAGGCATTACAGTGCGAGACATCCAACCAAATTATCGGTGTCTCATCATGACGGTCAATTTCAAATTCAACGTCGTAACATTTAATGTCCAATAAGTCTGGATGTTGAGTTGTTTCTTATACAAATATGTTCTGCCAACAATAACGAAAAAAATATAAAAAAAGGGCATACACATTCTGAAGACAAGATGCCAACTCCACCGGTTTTTACGACATGAATGAAAGTACACATATTTTAAGTTAAACAGGGATTTCTGAGCGAATTCTAATTGGTTAACTTATTTTTTTCATATTCCGTAGTTATTATCAAAACTAATGCGTTATGAATCCTTAATAAAAAATGTTTTAATACATTTCCTAATCAAATCGATTTATTTGGTATTTAATTTATTACCGAAATTTAAGATTCAGATTGCTATTTGATATTTTCAATTTAATATTTACCTACAGTTTTGTGACCAGAAATGTATGAAGACGCCGATAAGCTAGGATCTTCCAGTGTATTAACAATTACAGAAAACATCGATACTCTACTTACCCGTCGTGGTAAGGCACACACACAATTTAAGCACGCGTACACAAATTATCTCTAATCATTTCGATCGACATTATTCGCCGTTATCGTCGACACTTTGCCTTTGTGGAGAACCCATTGCGTGACATGAATCAAACTGGGTTGTTGTTGTTGTAGCAGTAGTACATGCAAGTGTTTGCGCTCTGTTAATCTGGTTCCAGCTGTAGCCAGAGATCTTCTGGGGTGAGTTGGGTAGGTTTGGCTGTGCAATTAATTATAGTGCGGGCCTGTGTTACACGCCGGGCAGACGTCACGCACATCTTCATCAATTCGTGCCCCATATGAATTGAAACAACTACACCATCCTGAACATAATTGCGCCAAAACTACCTTGGTTTGTCTAGGCAGCTGACTTTCTTCTGCTGCAATGGATGGGGGTGGACTCTGATTACGGCATTCATTTTATAATTGCTAATAGCATCTGCGACTGCATCGGTATGAATGCCACTCAGACCAGCATGATAGGCATCCTGATCTAGTGGTTCTCTTTTGTAGCGTTGGACCTCCCTCTCTAGATCATGTATGTCCTTCCTGACACGCCTGGGGGGGAGTTTTATCCATCATATGATGGTTGGGATGACTCTCACGGTAACACCCAAGCAGGTTCTGCAACGAAAGCATATGATTATGCTGACGTAAGGGAAGGACTTTCGCCTCCCCATGTAGATGCTCAACTGGTGTCATGAGAAGGTTTCTTTGTCCGGACCCCAAGTGCTGCCTGCTAGCGCCTTGAGGACCTCGTTCCTACTTTTCATCTTGCCGCAGATAGCTGTGGCTTGCGCGGTGCAAAAAATATTCTAAAATTACATATTTTCTAGCCGCCATAAAATATCACATGTGAACAATTCGGTGATCTTGTGCGCTGACACACACGAATGTGTGAGATAATAAAGGTTATGACCCACATGCACATATATCAATGCGCTCAGTAGATGTACAAGACCACTTGAATGAAATAACAAGCAGGCCAGCAATGTTTTCAATAATTGAGTGGCTGCGATTAGGCTAAGATAGATTAGTTTTAGTTGTACTTAAGAAACATATTTTTAATAAAAACTAGAATTAAATGTACACCCAAACGAAGCGATTGTATTCGTTTTTCTTCACCGAATTGAGTTGACATTCGAAGGGGGAGATTGGACTCTTTTCTCATTTAAACATTGATCCTCCGAGCAGGATCCGAATAGAAAATAGAGTTGACAATCGAAGAGGGAGGTTGGATTCTATTCTCATTTAACATTGGTCCTTGGAGCCGGATCGAGAATTGAAACTACATCCAAAAAATAATGTTGTTCTTTCTTTTCTCATTTTCTACATTGATCCTCCGAGCAGAATCCGAGAAGAGAATAGAGTTGACAATCGAAGAGGGAAATTGGACTCTATTCTCATTACATTGGTCCTTCGAAAAAATAAAGAATCGACGACCTAAAATAAAATTGGTTTGAGATATCCCCCACCAGTGGTAAGTAACTCAAAATAACCAAAAACAAGTAAAAAAAATCAAGTTCGGCCGGGACGAACATCTAATACCCACCACCTTATGGTAATGGAACCACTTGAACCAATTATGACCCACAAATACCAATTTTTAGACATATTTGCGGGAAAATGTTGCAAAAATCATCGAAATACCGGATATCGGAAGGTACCGCTATATAGGGCTATACAAAAGCGTGGACCTATACATACAATATTTCGCCAACGGAGCTAAAATGTGACAAAAACCATCAAAATACCGAATATCGGAAGATACCGTTATATGGAGGCTATACCAAAGAGTGGACCTATACATACAATGTTTCAGCACACAAACTAGGACCCATTATGACCTACAAATACCAATTTTCAGACAAATCCGTGAAAAAATGTGGTAAAAATCAAAATACCGAATATCGGGAGGTACCGTTATATGGGGCCTATACTAAAACGTGGGGGCTACACATGCAAAGTTTCGCCACCGGAGCTAGAACCTATTATGATCAACAAATACCAATTTTTAGACAAATCCATGAAAAAAACTCATCAAAATACCGAATATAGGGAGGTACCGTTATATGGGGGCTACACCAAAGTGTGGACCTATACATACAATGTTTCGCCGCACGAACTAGGACCCATTATGACAAATACCAATTTTCAGACAAATCCGCGAAAAAGTGTGGCAAAAATCATCAAAATACCGAATATCGGAATGTACCGTTATATGGGGACTATATCAAAATGGGACCGATATATCTCATTTTCAATACCAACCAACCTAGACACAATACAAATTATTCTGCTTAATTTTGACGCTATACGTCAAATAATGTGGGCTGTATCGTGATTTCAACAGATAGACGGACATCGTTAAATCGTCTTAGAATTTTATACTGATTATGAATATATATACATTATTGGGTCAACGATAAATATTAAGGGATGTTACAAACGGAATGACAAATTGAATATACCCTCCTTTCCAAGGTGGAGGGTATAAAAAGGAGTAGCAGTTCTTCAAAAAGGAGGAAAAGTCCGCTGAGACATTTTAAATGTAAGACCGTAGGGTATTTTAAAAAATAGTCGAAGCGAATAAATTATATGAAAAAGCCATAAATGCAAAGGTAAAAAGCCATAAAGGCAAAAATAAAAAAAAACCCAAAGGGCAAAAATTGCAAAATACGCAATAGGAGAAAAACCAAAAAATAAAACCACGGGGCAAATTTAAAAAAATAGCTAAAAGAGGACAGCAAAACCCCCAATAAAAACATATAATTTTGAAAAGAGGACAACAAAAGTCCCAAACTAAAAAGAAAAAACATATTTTAAAAATAATAAAAGGAAAAAGCCAAGTATATACAACAAGCAAAGAAATATAACAAAAGCAAAAACTGGTACAAAAATGGAAAGGAGTTCCAAAATCAAAAGCTCCAAGGAGAGGAGCGTGACAATACAACAGCGTCAGGAGATATTGAGCTTGAAAATCCTGGGGCATTGAATATACCAGAATATTATATGATAGCAATTGAGCAACAATTTTAGGCGTTCCAAGAGATGATGCTGCAGCAGCAGGAGCAAATGCTGAAACCAATAGAGGAAACAATGAAGTAGATGTTCCTATTGCAACAAACCAACAAAAATAAAAAAGGGCAAGGAACAATAGGAAAGGCAAGTCGTCGAAGCTGAGAAAGATGACCTATCCAAACAACTGGCAAATCTAAGAGAGGGGCATCATGCTGTTAATCTAAAACAGATTCTCTGCTTAGAAGGAAGTATTGTGAAGTGTTTCCTGCCGGCAAGTCCTCATTTTGAGGAACGAGATGAGGGAGGAAATGCCGAGGTTAAATCCGCCCTATGAAGCAGTCGAAAAACATAAATTGTATTGGAAAAAAGGAAATGGAATAAAGGCGCTACATTTCCCCCCATCATTTCTAACGAATATGGAAAAGAATGAATCGAAGTCGGAAAAACCGTTCAAAGTTCTCTAGTTCCGGTTCCTGAACGGTATTGCCTTAGAGAAATTAATAGCAAATCATCAATGGCCGTTAGAATAGAAGACGACAAACCGGAGATTACCAAAAAGACAGTGGCAATCATTTGCTACGTGGGTGATGACAGTCTGAAATGATGGACTATTATTTCGGTATAGATAATGAAGCCGGCAGATAAAGGTGTGGCATCGGCAAGATGGACTGGACAAAGAAATGGAGTCGTTTCCTGGAAGGGGTTACCTAAATGAATACTATATTATTTCTATATTTAGTTATACATAGATTACTCGTCATATTTTTATATTTAAATGTTTCGTACTGTCCATTTTTTCAATTTTATAACATACAGTCCACTAACACATACATATTGAAGCCACCCGGGAGAAGGTACAAAATACTTTGTACATATGACTTGATTGAAATAACAAGTAGCCCTGCAATGTTCTCCATTGAATATTAGAATAGATAAGAATAATTGTGTGGCTGCGATTAGTTTAAGATAGATTAGTTTTAGTAGTACTTAAGAAACATATTTTTAATAAAAACTAGGATTGAATCTACCCCCAAGCGAAGCGGCTATATTATTTTCTCATCACCAAATAGAGAACAGAGTTGACAATCGAAGAGGG